GTCATCAAGTTTTCGAAATTCCAAATGGATCGTACGCCACGAATTTTCGATCGTACAGGACCTCAAATTATCGTACGCGTACGATAATTATCGTACGAATGGGATCACTGAGAGCGTGCAAACGCCTCTTCCTCCTCTTTACCCTCCTCCCTCCTCCCGCCCCCACTTAAAGTCTCCTACATTCTCCCCGTATACCAACTTCGAATCGAATCGAAGTCAATCGTCGAGCACCCCTCTTGTCCAAGGCGTCGATGATTCATCTGTCAACCGGACGTTCATCGAGTATTCCAGTGTCTATTATTATCGGTAAACTAGATCGTTATCAAAATATGCCTATGTTTATTTCCAAATTCGAAATAGCATTTAATTATTATTATTATTATAAGAATGTTATCATTATAATAGAAAATACTTAATATATCATTTTGTTTTATCGTCTATGAAATAAATGCGAAGGTGTTTTTTTGATGATAACATTATCTAATATTTGTTATCAATTGGTTTTGATATTATTATAATTATTATAAGAATATTATTATATATTATCATTATATTATATTATTATATTTGATACTTGTTTTCAATTGGTTTTGAATATGTATGATAATTTTTATTATCATTATTAAATCCCTAGAAATTTCTTAAATTTTTACTATTATTAATTATTAATATTTTATTGATTTATTTATTGATTTATAAATATTTAATGTAATAATATTTCTAATTCTCCACCTACTCGTGTATAAAATAAAATGTATGTATATAAGAATATATAAATCATAATAATAATAAAAATAATTTATATTTTTGGCTATCAGAATTCTGTAACAAGCATCAAATGACTTTATCGTTGTTGCATACGCGTGGGATTTAATAATTCCGAGTTTGCACTTGGTGTGTTCCTCGTAAATTGCCCTCAAAGTTGCCCCCGTAAATCCGATATCGTTCGCGACGATAAATTTTCCTTGCAACTTCCGGCGTAAAATCTCTCGTAGGACGTACGACGACGACTACCATAAGGACGAAAAAGAAAAGTGAAGAAAGTAAAGGAGATGAAGGATATCCGAAAGAAATATAATACATTCAATACTCGTAAATATTACACCAGGAAGAAAAAGGGAAATTTATTCTACGAAAATGGAATCGTCAATGATTCACGAAATATCTTCCAATAAAAACTATGATTTCTATGATTTATAACATATGTATATATAAAATAATTCCTATTGGAATAATAAAACGATTCGATGATTTACAAGTTTATGATATTTTTTGTCAAAGTAAAAATATGTTTACTATTAACACTTTAATATGGCCGCTCACACAACATGTGTGTGGTAACCGGAATAACCGTTATTTAATTATAACTTTTAATATATTTAAAATTAAATTTGATTTTAATTGTTGTTGTTTTTTTTATGTTAATTTTTGTGTGAATTTATTAAAGCTTTTTTAAATTAATTTTTCAAAAATATTACAGGCCCCTAGAGTGACGTTTGACTGCGGCCATTAAAGTGTTAACTTGGTAAAAACAATTTTATTAAATTATTGATGAAACTTATTTCGTAATTACGTTGTAAATTCATTAAATTAATTTTTTATAGAGTCCAGAAATACAAAACAATGCTACGTGATTCATTGACGTGATATTTTATCGTATAATTATTTTCACTATGGGATTAATTTTGTAAATAATAATAATGTGGGATAGAAATATTCATTTAACAAGAGAGAGAGAGAGAGAGAGAGAGAGAGAGAGAGAGAGAGANTATAATTTTTTTCCCTTTTTTTTAATTTTTAAATCACTTTTTTTAGGTTTTATTTTTTGCCTTATATATATTTATAAAAATTTAACAAGAGAGAGAGAGAGAGAGAGAGAGAGAGAGAGAGAGAGAGAGAAAGAGATACAATCCTATTAGTCCATTGAACAAATGAATAATTTAAATAACGTCGAAGAAATAATTGATATCACTGTGTAAATTGCAACGCGACATGATAATTAAATGGTATAATATTATACTAATACACGATGTGTAGGTGGTATAAATGATTTGACGATGTCACATATCGGTATATATTAAACGATGTAAATATTCGTCGTCAAATCGTGTACACATATGTATATATATAAACATGTATATTATATACGTGACTCGCATGGTATATTCGAAACTCTTCAACTACGTACCGAACTCTAACCGTGCCGTAGCATAACGATATGCATAAAGTTTCAAGACGATTGTGCTCGAGAAGTTTTAGCAAGCGAGTAGATCTGTTTTAACAAAACAAGACGCGATACGTGCTGAGCATTGAAAATGTTTTTTAAACAAAATAAAAAAAAAAAAGAAAAGAAAAGGATCTACGTACCAACAATTGTGAGCTGCTAATTACTATAGTGTAAGTAACTTTAAAATGTTAAGTATACGTTTTTGAGATTATCATAAAATATTTTAATCCTCTAAGATGTTGAAATT